CCAGCCAGTCATAGTGAGCACCACTGCAGGTGCTGTTGATCGCAGAAAGTCTCTGGCACCAGCCGTCCCGCCTCGCTCGTGCGTTTTGATCCCGGGGTCTCTCCCTTGTTGTGCCCGTGGGGGCTCCTCAGCTAGAGCTTGTTCTGGTTTGGTTTTGGCACCATCCTGACGACTCCTTCCTGCACCGCAGTTGGCTCTGTACCAGTGCCCAGCACCCGCTGGTCCAGGGGCTCTCGCATTCGTACAGCATCCAGTGGTCTGCTCGGAAGGATGCGTGGAACCACATGGAATGGTCGAGGAACACCATGAACTTGATGTGGTACTGCTGTAGGGCTGTGCCCAGGAAGGCGTAGTCAGAGATTTAGGCGTCCACACAGCAGTGGACCTTCATGTTGGCCTCTCCTATGTAGCCTCGCGCTCGCACGCAGAAGAGCTGCTTCAGCTCCTGTGGCTCCAGGGAGAAAACATCTGGCGGGTTCATGCGTTTGATATCAATCGGCACAACTTCAGCTTGAATCTTGTTGAGATGCTTTCTGTCAAGTTAGGATTCTGCAGAAACTTCTGGATGCGTTCCTCTTGTGTGAGCAGCTCCTTGCGGGGCAGCACAGTGGGCATGGTGAACTGGTGGTGCACTAGGCTCTCCTGGGAGCACTGGAAGGAGGCCTGGCAGGTGAAGATTGGCTGCCCGTGCTGGATGGCCTTCACGGAGCGGACGGAGAAGCTCTTCCCCAAGCGGGTGCACTCCACCTTGTACAGCACCGGCACCTTGGGGTTCCCTGAGCGCACGAAGTAGCAGTGCAGCAAGTGCACCTGCTCGGCGCGGCTCCTGGCGTGAGCGCCTGCCCCACGATCTGCCCGTGTCATGGTTTGACCCTGGCTGGCAGCCAGGTGCCCACATAGCCGCTCTCTCACTCCCCCTTTTCTGCTAGACAGGGAGAAAATGTGAATTCAGTCTGAAATCATTTATGTATAGCTGAAAAAAGAAGTATCTGTTCTCCTAGGTGTAGAAAGTGTGTTTGCGAAGTTCTCTTGGCACTGGCAAGCAATGTTTTATGATTAGCTTCCATCCACACCTCATAAATAGTAATAATAAAGACAAAAAACTTTCTATACCTAATTACTAAAGCCAAAGAGTCCCTCCCTCTCCATTTGTTCTCAACACCATCCTGCATTTCTCAGCCTCTCTGAGGCAGTGATCTCTAGTTTTGACAATACGGTTAAGAAAAACATGAAAATAAAAACAAAAGTACCTTCTGGCTTGTTAATGCAGGGAGATGATGGCCTCAGCTGTACTTTCATTTCTCTGTACATATTGTTGAGTTAGCTTCTGAACGAGGTATGCTACTTCCACCACTTGAAATACATTTTTTTTTCTTTTTGTTTTATCCCAGAAGCTCTATTTTCAAAGCTGCCAAGAGTCACTTGTCAACCTATTGTTTTACTCACATCGAAATTTTGTCAGTGTGTACCTTGACAATCTCTAGACTGTCAGAAAGGTGTATTTTCATGTGAAACATCTCTAAAACTACTCAGAGGGTGATCTTAAAAAAAATTACGTTTCCCAATAGGGAGAAAACGGTCAAAAAGCTACTTTATTTTTATTTTGCATCAAGTGCAGAAAAACATTTCCAACTCTTCACTACAGAAATGTGGTGGAAAACATTCCCGCTTTACAGCCTTTGGACCTATAGATAAGTGAAAGATTCTACCCTTTTTTCCCACTGTGCTTCCTGCTCTGTTCAGGAAGTTGCACCCATGCTACCCACCATTTCACTTGCCTTCCTCCTGCAGAACAGGAACTGTGTCCTGTTCCAGAGCAGTTTCTATTTCAGGATGAAGGGTGTTCTCCTGGGAATGTGAACAGGAGGGCACAGGGGAGCAGCAAAAGGAAGACAATGTGGTTTTCTCATCTATGTCCTGAAACGCACTGAGATCTTTTAAAGTCCTTGGAAGACATACTCAAATGCTTTTGACCCGCTTTTCCAGTGTAGTGTCTCTATGAGTCTTACGTCCTAATTAAAGATGTCCCCGCTTACTGCAGCAGGGTTGGACTAGCTGACCTTTAAAGGTCCCTTCCAGCCCAACACGTTCTGTTATTCCGTGATTCTGTGATTCTATAACAGATTCTATGATTCTGTGATTCTATGATTGTAATAACGTGTTCATTTAACAGTTACCCATTCACTCAGCCCCTCAGCCCTTTAACTCAGCCCCTCGACTTCTCTTTCCACATAAAAGAAGAAAAAGACCCACCCCTTAAAACTGCAAGACTGTCTTGGTGGGCATAAGACTTCGACAGATAAAATCCAGCAAATCTTGCTGCAGCAGTTGAAAAGTTTGCTCGTGCCTCCATCACCATCAGCAGTGCAGGGCTGGCACAAGGGAATACGTGCTTGTGCCTCTGCTGTGCTAACGCAAAAGCTGACAGTGAGCCTCAGGTCACCAGGGAAGGTGGGCTTCAGGAAGACACGATTCCTGTGCTGAAGCAGATTGTGCATGGGCATACATTTCCTCCTGCCAATTCTGCTAAAGGGTGATAACCTGGTACAATGAAACTGTAACAACCAGCTGGGCAGCAGTAACGCCTTAAGGCACCCGAACCGTTCACTAAGCGAAGCTGAATGGAAATCCTTAAATCAGTCACATGTGCTTATACTTTCAATTTTTGATTTTATTCTCGGTTTAAAAATGTATCACTTGTATTTTTCATTCTTAAATGGAGTAATATTTTCTTCAAATTTTGACAGTGCTTTCACGGTCAGCCTACTCTGGTAATGTTAATTGAAAATAATTAAAAACATTAAATGATTCTGAGCCAGCTCCTGTCAGAAAGTAAAGATAATTTCTGGCTCTTCTTTCTTCCAGGCACTACTTGTCAATGGAAAAGAGCTAAAGTTTTTCCTAATTGTCTTCTACATTCATAGAGCTTTAACTCCAGTAGGAATTTCTGCTGGCTGGTCCGTTTCTCCCTACGGGAGTATTTTAGTTCATTTTACTGCTGATACCGTGTGTGATTCAGTGGGTACTCAGCACCAAATAATATGTCAGAGTTTTGCTTCATTCAGCATCTGAACTTTAACTCTTTAGCGCTTGTCACAATCCTCTCTACAGTTTCTGTGACCAGTGATCCAATCGGATCACGAGTAAGAACCTTATAAAACACAGTTCCCACATTTTTCACTTCATAGTATTTGCATTCATTGACACACTTCCTGAAAACTATCATGTTGAAACAGTAAAAGCTCAACTAGGATTTGACTTATCACTTTCCTGAGTTATCTTTGACATGTTGCCATTCAAGGGACTTTTTATTTTTTTTAAATTTCAGGTAGCAGGGACTTAATGCTTTTGGAGGACACAAGTATAAGTTCTGCTGACAGTCATCGTGGAGATCCAAGAGCTCATGAATTGCTGCATGCTACCAACGGAGATGCTTCTAGACAGGCACTGATACATTACTATTGGTTTCCTGTCAAATGTGTTCCACAAGTGCAATTATGCACAAAACGTGAATACATTAAACCCATTTCAACTACTATGTTTAGATTCCTCAGCTCTTGTGCACGGACATGCTAAAATCACTCCAACATTTTTTCTGCGCTCTTAAAAAGCCCAAGTATCCTTGCCTCCCACCTTTAAAGAAAATCAATATTTGGCAGCTGTCTTATGTTTTTGCTGTGTTCCTGATTTCCCTCTGTTTTTGGCATTGCCAACACATTCTGCAATATGCTGCAATGCCCTTAATAACGTTTTGGAACAGCCTCACTAGAAACGCCAGTTCGCAGAGGATTGAATTAGCATGTATCATCTACACCATGTACAGTTAGGAGTTTCGAGCCCTTCCCAGGATTTTATTGTTGATACTTCTTTTCAGATGGGTTATACTCACGTTAGGAATGTCCCGATTTTGTGGTACGCTTCATTTTTTCAGTTTGCCTTTGGCCTATATATTGCTGATGGCACAAAAAATTCTGCATTTCTTGACTGACCAGACATATCTTTATGACTATTTATTCAATTTCATGTTCCATTATTAATAAGAGTATTTGACATACACAGGTTGGTTATCCCTGTTACTTGGCTCAGTATCAATCACTTTCAGAGACTGAAACTGGATTCTGAGGCCCCAGCTACATAAAAATAGGATCTGTAATTTGTCACAGGTGTTTGCTCGAACAATTCCACCAATAGATACAACCCCAAAAATTGCAGGACAATGTTAAATTTGCATGACATAGTGCAAACTCTCTTTGCCACTACCTGTGATCTGTTTCTACAGTACTATGGTTTGTGACCCTGTGTAACCATCTATGTTGAATTCTAGATATCGTTTGATGTTGCTATTGTAAATGTATCTTCCCCTCCTCTACCCAAATTGGACACACTATTCCAGATGCAGTCTTGCAAGCGCCAAAGAGAAGAAGAATCACGTCCCTGGGCCTGCTGGCTGTAGTCTTGCTACTACAGCCCAGGATGATGTTGGCTTTCCCAGCCACAAGGTCACATTGCTGGCTCACGTTCAACTTGTCTCCAGAATTGCCCTTTTCAGAAAAGCTGTTTCCCAAACAGCCAATCCTTGGCCTGCATTGTTCATAGAATCAAGGAATCATAGAATGGTTTGGGTTGGAAGGGACCTTAAAGATCATCCAGTTCCAACCCCGCTGCTATGGGCAGAGACACCTCCCACTAGACCAGGTTGCTCAAGGCCCCATCCAGCCTTGCCTTGAGCACTTCCAGGGAGTGGGCATCCACAGCTTCTCTGGGCAACCTGTTCCAATGTCTCACCATCCTCACAGCAAAGAATTTCTTCCTAACATCAAATCTAAATATACTCTCTTTCAGTTTGAAACCATTACCCCTTGTCCTATCACTCCATGCCCTTGTGAACCATGCCTCCCCAGCTTTCCTGTAGCCCCCTTCAGGTACTGGAAGGCCCCTACAAGGCCTCCCCAGAGCCCTCTCCTGGCTGAACAACCCCAACTCTCTCAGCCTGTCCTCACAGGGGAGATGCTCCAACCCCCTGATCACCTTTATGGCCCTCCTCTGGACATACTCCACCAGGTCCATGTCATTTTTGTGCTGGGGGCCTCAAAGCTGAACGCAGTACTCCAGGTGGGGTCTCACAAGAACAGAGGGGAAAAATCACCTCTTTGTTGTTGCATGATTTTTTTCCATCCTAGATGCAAGACTACATATTTGCTGTTGCTGAACTTCATGAAATTCTGGTCAGCCCATTTCTTCAGCCTGTCAACATCCCCCTGAATAGCAGCCCTGCTCTCCAGTGTGTTGATTGCTCCCCGCTACTCCCCTCCGCCAGCTTGGGGTCATCTGCAAACTTTCGAGAACGCAGTTTGTCCCACCAGCCAGTTCATCAGTGAAGAGATTAAACGCTGCTGGTCCTAGAATTGGGAGGGACACCCTGAGGGACACCACTAGTTACTGGCCACCATACAAGATACTTTGCGTCACTGATCACAACCTGTTGAGCCCAGTGGTACAGCCAATTTTCCACTCACCTTATCATCAGTTTATCTAGCCCATAACTCACCGGTTTGGTGATAAGACGACTACGGGAGATTGTGTCAAAGGCTTGCTAAAGTCAAGGTATACAACACACGTTGCCCTCCCCTTTTGCACAACATCATCCTAGAGAGGTAATGAGGTTGGTCAGGCATGGTTTGTCCTTAATAAACCCATGCTGGCTGCTTGCAATGACCTTCTTGCCTTTCATACATTTAGAAATAACTTCCAGGAGGATTTGCTCCATAGCTGTCTCAGGAACTTAGATGAGGCCAACCAATTTGTAGTTACCTAAATGCTCCTTCCTGCCGTTCTTGGGGGCTGGTTAGCTCAGTCAGTTGAGCGTGGCGCTAACAAGGCC